GAATATCAATCAGATTCGGTGGTGCAATATATGAAAGACTAAATTAATTATCCTTGAACTGCACTGAATTACGGTTTTATTTATACTTTCAGGATTTTTGTTTTGTCTGGTTAAATTCATGACTTATCACATAAAAGTAACAGGATTTTACACGTTAACGGTCTTCCAGTATATCTTTGACTCGGACAGTGCATGCAGGAAGTTCAGAGATTAATGTGTTAAGAAGTCTCAATTGAGAACAGCTGAATATTTTACATTTCTCTTAGCTAGTGAACCCTCTAACTTACCCTCAATCCCAGTGATCCAAAGAGTTTTGTTGCTTAGTGCAGAAAGGATCGTTACATTAAAAGTGTATTTTTTGATCCAAAACAGAAAAGGTTCATTTGAGTTGTTGGACCATAACAGGTATCAGAAAACACATGACTGGCCAGAATAACTCTTGCTTGTAAAATATTCCCCAAGTCTTGGAAGTTTCTAAAATACAAACTCAAAGGTCATATAGTTAGTTCACTAGGACGCTAAAGCTTAAATCTTGCAAACATTGTTAATTACTGTCGTTATGTTAACTCTTGCATGTCTGGCCAGATAAAAAAACAGGGACAAAGCAGTGAAAGGAGAGGAGTAGATTACCAATTCGGCTTCATTATTGTCACATGTTGAAAAATAGCACTAGAATTGTGTGACAGAACCATCTGTCTGCTTGGATTTTTACTACGTTCGTCTGTTTTTCCCCCGTTCGTATGAATGGCTGGTTTCTATAGCCCAGCCATTCGAATGACTCTTTTTCCCGAACAAAACTGCCGAACGAACGGCCACCCAAGTAAGGAGTGTGCTGCAGGTTAACGAAGTGATCCCAATTAGAACGTTGTGGTTAACCGCAGACACTTCTCAATTAAACCGAATTCAGGGTGGTCGTCGTTCGTATGTCGACCACGAGGCAGCGGCCATTTTAAATCATGCGAACGCCAGCGGTGTTTGGCTCTATTTCTATGGAACTGAAAACGGACACTTTTTCTGCCGAACACCGCTGAAACAACGGAACGCCTGGCTGCCTCCACGAAAGCATGCGAACACCGGCCGTTCGGGAGATTGAGAGCATACGAAAAGACTTAACCCAGATAGCCTTCCCATGGAGTCATTCGTATACCGAAAGACTGTAAGAACTTTGACTCCATGGCGATTGAACTATGTGTGTGGGATCTGAGCGCTATTCGCTAATAATATGCACTCAGATCCAGGCTATCTGGGGACATGTAATACGAATGGGAAATGTTCAGTTTTGATGTAGTTATATATTTTTATGTCTTTTATTATTTTATGTCTAAGATGGCGACTGGCTTTGTCCTGGAGTTAATTGAGTTACTTGGTAATTAACTCCAGGGCAGAGGGGAGGGAATCATAATGCACTGTGGGTAAAATATGTGACTGTGTGTCTGAAATGTCCCTCTATCTGTCTGTAGTTTAAGTCTCCCATTTGGTCCCCTAGGGGAGTGTCCACCAGGTGGGAGACCTGCATAAATACGGGCAGGTAGCCCACAGTAAAACCAGATTCTGTTTGACCCTCAATGCGGAGCTTCTGTCTCGTTATTGGGGGGATTTCTTCTTCACGTTTAGAGACTGCTGGATGGAATGAAAGCCACTTGGGGAATATTGCTGTTCGACGGTTACCAGCAGTTCGTGTATTGCCGTTCGGGAGTTTGGAGCCGTTCACGGATTTCGATCGGGAGATTGCCGCTTCCCCTGCATTTGGTTCGTGTGTTACAGATTAAGCGAACGGAGACTGTACTGCAGCCGGGGAAGGTCTACTAAACGGCGGTTTGGCTTAAAGGCACTGGAGGTGTCTTAACAAATTGCAAATTCACAATGGCGCAAAACTCTAAACCTGTAATGCTAATCCTAGGGCTGATGTAATGTGATATAAGATACAGTACCGCTAGAGCTCTAATGACAAATCTTTTCTTAATGCTAATCTTAAAACTCTGAATTTCCATTTCAATAACACTAGAAACTAGTCTTGGGAGAAGGGGCACTGAAAGATTTTGTAGTGTTAGATATAGATAGATTTTCAACATGTCTGTCAGTATAAGGTTTATATTACAGCAATTTTTTTAATTGCATGTGATAATTGTCATACCTCAGGCAGCCTTGATGTTCCAGGTCCCTCATCGATCCAATGGGTTTATACACTGCGCGCTTGCCCACCTTAAATTCAGAGGCCCCGCTTTGTTTAGCTGCTCCAGGTTATATTCATTGACTATAAATCTTATTAGACATTAAATCAGGGACAGGGATATAATTTCACTGCATTATATTTTTGTTTAATCAATGTAGCATCTCTGCTTTCTATGTTGTTGTTTATTATGTAATAGAATGTGTTCTGCACTTCGTCGATTTTGCAAGGTTGCCGGATCACCATGGCAACCTTGCCCTGCCTACCGGAGTCTTAAGTTACAGGACCCTGTAATTCTAATTCAATTTATATTAAAAGTTTTAAAGTTCATATCCGTAGGACACATAATCTACCCTTCTCAAGTTATTCCCTTTTATGTGATTTGGTCGAGTGTGATAATGTTGTCAAATAGTATTGGGGTTGCCCCTATAAATACTTCCCTCTTTCTTAGGATCATTGCCCTGTCATGGTTTATTATTGCCTGAAATTGTATACTGGTCACTGTTTCTTGTTACTGATCAAACTTTGTATTGACCATTCTGTTATTCTGTATCCTTGACCTCAGCTTGTTTAATCATGTTTTGAGTACCTCTGGAATCCTGGACCTTGGATTTTATACTGACTTCTTACATAATAAACAACATAGCAAGTTGAGATGCACAACTAAATTTGTCAAACAAAAATATAATGCAGTGGAATTATATCCATGTCCCTGTTTTAATGTCTTGTACAATACTACAGAATATATTCTATAATACTCAATACATACCAGCCGTTAGAAACCAGAAGTAGACATGGAGGAGCGGAAGCTGATGACGCATCTAAAATAGGCTTAGTGCAAATAGTTTGAACAAATATAAATATGTGACCACAAATATGTGACCTGATTTTGATACAGGCTAAAAGAATGCCGACTTCAGAGCATTTTCAGGGGCCAAGGGATTTGCTAGTACTTTCAGGGTGGTAAGAAAATGTTCACTGGCCAGTGTGTCCAATATTTAATCTATACAGGGCATGGGGTAAGTGCCTGTTTTGTTGTTTAATAATCCACATTTATCCTTCTTGGGCACTGGTATTACGGGTGAGGTCCAGGGACTAGCTAAGGGTTCAATAACCTCAAGGACTAACATTTCCTTAATCTTCTGGCGCATAGGTTTTTGTTCCACAAAGCTTCCAGAGCTGCTGTGTAAAGTCTGATGTACATTAAGTCCCTTGGTCAGATATAATCTCACTTGGAAACCCCACCTTACTGAAAATGCAGATTAGTGCTTCAGCTACTGTTTCTGTCTTTATATTAGTCAGTGCAACGGCTTATATGTATTAAGTAGTGTAGTCCACCAGTGGGAATGTCATTTTTCCCTGTGGCACTAGGCCTGGAAAAGGTACCCATAATGCCATCAGTTATCCTGTTCAAATGTTCTCCTACTATGGTCATGCAATGTAGGGTAGCCTTGGAGTGGTCACCTCTATAGCCCACTATTATGCGCTATCTTAAGTAGTTCAGGCCATATACTTTTGAGGAACTACAAGCTGACAAATATGACTCTAAGTGTTTCCCTAGTCCTCCCAATCAATACTCTGCATATTAGCCAACAATCCCATTCTACATCCCTTGGTCCTTGGTATCTGCTCATTTGCGATATTAAGGTAATGTGGGATTTGCCTTGTGGTGCAGTCAATGTTCCTTTTTGGCAGAGGATCTCTGAGAGTACTCTGTCAGGCCTCATGGCGTGGTGAGAGGCCTTGCATCCAGCATCTCTTCTTGGGTCGATTGAGCGGGTGAGATTCTTGCCACAGAATGGGCTTGTGCTGGGCACCAGGTCCACCAGTGACCGGTGAGTGTGGCGGTGTTGATGAGCCCGAGATAACTCTCACCGGAGAAGGGGAACGAGATCCTGTACTGCGTCAGCTTGGTCTAGGGGGGGGGGATTGGCCGCGTCTCACACTCTTGCTCCCAGGTAGGCCGCAATAGCATTTCGGGCTCAAACTGCTTGCCTTGCGTCGATAACACTTGGGTTTAAGCAGAGCTGAGTGTAGGCTGTCTCCAGCTCATGGATTGCTGTTTTTTGTTGTCTTCAGGGATTCTTGGTCAGAGCTCGCTTAGCATGCGACCGTTCAGTTTGGCAGCCAATCCCCCCTCCCCCCCTTTCTGTATTTTTTATACTAGAATTTTTTTGTTTTTTGAGTGATTGGGATAAGATTTGGAGTACTAGAGCATAATCGTAATATAAAAGTACCTTTGTAATATGATCGTGGGTTTCTTCTTTTTTTTTTTTTTGTAGATCAATGATTTAAGCATTTGGTTTAAAGGAAAATTAATTACAATATTTTTATGAATCTTATATTTTAATTTTAAGGAAAATCTACTTTTACTGCAACAAACCAGTCTGTCTTTTTTCCCCCCTCTCTGTGAACAGTATTTAATGTGATCCTTTGTTAGATGCGCCACTTAACTGACTCAGGATTACTCCATGAATGAAATTAGCTCTGACTGAGCTTCCAAAGTTATCATGGGAGAGCAGGGAAAGTAAGAAGCTCAGCTCTGTATAGCCGTGATAACCTCAATCTTTCATAACTAAATGCTTCGCGACCACAGGTGTCTGTGTTATGTAGTGCATTCATGGAGTGGAAACGATAATTTCATATCTGTAAAAAAACAAATTTGTAATGATTGTTTTCCTTTAAATATTCATGACAGCTGTGGACATTTGCTGGACTTGACCAGGAAGACTGACAGAGTAAATAAATAAATAAAAGGTGGAATAATATATTTTTGGGGAGAAAACTATTTTTCTAATGGCTTTCTTTCTGCTTTTGCTTTTCAAGAAATATTTAATGTCATTTTTCTCTACATTTAGAACGTGAACAGAAAACAGCTCTTATGGAACAAGTGTCACATCAATGCAGCTTATTATTGAAATTGCAAGGAACTGTAATGTGGATCCAAGAGGATGTTTCCGCTTGTTTTTCCAAAAAGCCAGAACAAAGGAAATTTAGAAAACTTGAGGTATTTAAGTCAAAAATCCGCTTGCAGCTGATTTCCAAAGATATGAAGCCGCCGTGTTCAAGAATACTTATTTTTCTCCTGATAGCGGACACATGTATCTACAGCAGTGCCATCAACAGAATGTTTTTCAATGTCATCCGAACGTCAGTCCACATCATTTCCACCCAAACAAGCAGAGAGAAGAAGAGGACTCCAAACTCATGAACATTCTGTGACACGGATACCTTAATGTTCCATGAACGAGTGGAGCTGTATTCTTATAAGTGACATTTACAACTACCCAATGCTGCACTTTATTCCTTTTTATTTTATACCATCCCCCTAAGGGTAATTTAAGTCCCTGATAAATTTGTGGTGTCTTACGGCGTGGATGTTTTGCTGATGTTGTACAGGATAATGGAAGTGAATGCAGTGCTTCTGCCACAAGTAGATTTGCCTTCAGCCAATGATTTGGTTTTGTATTGTTTTAGGAGGAAAAGTATGTAAAACTTGAATAAAAACCAATAGTATTTGCAAAGAATACTTCTCTCGTTTTAAGTCATCTCTCTAACACCATTTACACAATTCAATTATTTGACATTTTAATTGTGACCAGTGGCGTACATAATGTGGTTGCAGGGGTTGCAACTGTGACCGGGACCGTCATTCAAAGGGACCCAGCCGACCTGCGGACCCCTGTGATTGGGTGCCCGCCTCCATGTGTTGCGGCCCCGGCAGGCGCAGTACAACCACAGGGGGCGCTGTCCAAGGGGTCCATCAGGTGGCCCATGCTATTAGGACCACCTGATGGAGATGGATTGTCCGGTTAGTGCCCTTTAACAGCGTGACTGGGCCCCGTGTGATGAGCCCGCGTGGGAGGAAGGACAGGGAGTCAGAGTGGGAACTCTGACTCCCATCAACCTGAGCCACCACTGGACCCCAGGGAAAGTCACCCTCCTGCACATAAAAGGTAAGAAACAGGAGGGTGACTTAAACATTTTTTCTGTGTGTGTGTGTGTCTGTATGTGTCTGTATGTATGTATGTATGTGTGCCTGTCTGTTTGTATATGTGTCTTGTGTGTGTGTGTGTCTCTGTCAGTATGTGTTTGTCTATGTGTGTGTGTCTCTATGTATGTGTGCCTGTATGTATGTGTGTGTGTCTGTCAAGAGGAGGGGGGGATTGATCAGTTTTGCACCGGGGCCCCATGGATTGTGTGTACGCCACTGATTTTGACAAATTGTGTTTATATTGATGAAAATGTTAGGGTACTTTAGAGGCATTTCAGGCTAATATTATAGATGAAGATCTTTATAAAGTTTTATTTTTGAAATATGTGATAAGGCCAGTTTTCTATACTCTCTCCAAAATTAATAAATTGTTAGACCAACTCTCATCAACCAACTGTTGCAGGTAATGGCTCTTTATTCTATCCTTCATCGGACATACCCTGAGAATAAAGTGTTTGAACAATTCCCATCTTCGTCATACAAGAGGCTAACCCCTGACGAAGGAGCCTGTGAACTCCGAAACGCGCGTCGGGTCTAGCTCGGCACGTAGGTATCCCACTTAGAGCACGAATTTATGCACCTATAGGGAGTTGTTGACTCTTTCACTTTTAGTTTAAGTATGTAATATAGAACTTGGAGTCTATTCTATTGGGGTGATAGACGCAGGGACTTGGGATTACGGGTTCCAGAGATAGCCTTAGCTCAGAATACCCACGAAGGTGTTAAATGGAGATTGCAGTGAACTAGCACAGCGGAATTAGTAGCAGCCTTTGTCTTATGAAATGATGCAATAACTGTTCAAACGCTATACTTGTCAGGGGTGCAACAACTATTTCACAAGAACTTGTTTATAGTCATTATAGAGTTGATACCTCTGTTCACGCTCTCCCTACTAAGGCACTCCAACTGATTTCCCAATATTCGTTAATCTTTAATATGGTCCTTATCTAACTAATAATAGGGCATCTTCTACTAGCCTGTCTATCTACCGCAAATACCATTAGGGAATTATATTTCTCAGCGTCTGGGGAATTATATCTCTCAGCGTCTGTTCCCCTGATGCTTATACTTTAGGCTCTCATTTCATTCACTGGATATGTACATAGCAATGAGTTGCCAGTTTTTTTACTTTTGTATAGCATTTTCAGGGTAAATAGCACTTACTGGCACTAGGATGTGGATAACTGATACTATTGTATCCTTCTTTCGATAGAAATTTAATAAAGTGTTAATTTTCCTTTTTTGAGGATACATAGTCTCGTATTACCACTTAATATTTAACGTGCTCCCTCCCTGTATTTTAATTTCATATCCAAGTCAGCTTACTAGGTAATTTTTAATATTATATTTTGTTCCGTTGGAATTTATACCAGCGCTTGAGAGCTCCCTCTAGAGGGTTGCTCTCCCATTTATAGTTTATTTTGTGTGTTACAGATCGTCATACAAGAGGTGTCCCAATCTGAGAGACAAGTTTGTACAAGCTGACTGTTCAGCTCCCACTGTTCCCTGATATATCAAAGAACCATACACCTGGAACCCATGGCTGGTGGGGAGTGGAAAGGGACCTAGTCCAGACACAGAGGCGCCAGGAATGGTCTAACCATTATTATTTCTTAATCAGCCCTACAGTGGGAATACAAATCCCTAACTGTATAGTGTTTGTGACAATAACGTTTGTACCTGTTCTACTATCAATAAGTCTCGACTAGCGTATAGGGATAGGGTTATAATCATGCTGTGCTGATGCAGAGGGAGCTAAAGTTAAGAAGGAAGATACAGTGATGGAGATACCCTGCTCTTGTCAATTGCTTCATAACAATTGTGGCAAACACCGGGATCACTACTGTCTGTGGAAAAGGTTCACTGCATAATGACCAGCAGTGAATGGTATAGTGCTATGAAAACCTTTAAATGTTTCCTGGAACAATCAAGAGGAACTATCTAACTACCATTGATTTGTGACTACTTGCAGATCCATTTCACCTCTGCAACTATCCCAAAGTTAGCATTCATTATGCCTTCAGACTATATCAATTTCAGGTCATGGCGTTTGGTATGAAAAATGCACCTGCTACATTTCAAAGGTTGACTGCCTCCTAGATGGTCCACAGGATTATGCCAGAGCATATCTGAATGACATTGTGGTCTACTGTGCCACCTGGGAAGAGCACCTGCAACATCTGTGGAACATACTAGACAGAATTAAGGGAGCTGGGTTGACTCTGATACCAGACAAATGCCAATTAGGGATGGCTAAGACTCAGCATTCAGGGCACAGGGTGTGCTATGGCAGACAACATCCCAAACCAAAGTTGAAGCCATAGCAAATTGCCCGACTCGCGGACCAAAACCCAGGTCCTAGCCTTCCTAAGTAGTTGTCTTAGCGCACATTTGTCAAAAATACAGCACGACAACCAAGCCCCTGACAGTTTTGACAAGAAAGAGTTTTCCCTGGCAGGTCCTGTTGTCACCAGAGTGTGAGGCAGCTTTTTCAGCAACTGAAAACAGCATTGAATGGTGCCCCTGTGTTCGCTGCTCTTGAACCACCCAAACAATTTACACTTGTTCTTCAAAAGTTTTTTTTTTGTTTGTAAAATTCAAAGCTACAAAAAGATGGTAATTAACAATGAGTCATTTAAAAAAAAAAATCATACAGCATTCTTTTATGTGGCTTTTCAAAGTGCGTGAGAATGAACACACTACATGAAGGTCATGTTCACTAGAGTGTAGTCTGAATGTAACCATTAACACGTGTCAACCATTTTCTGTTTTTAAAGCCAGTGGTTGGCCAATATATAATTTAATGGCTACTTCATGCTCCAAACACCATAGGACCTGGCAGGGAAAATTATTTATTGTCAGTGTCTAGGCTATTGTGCTGTAATGCGGGACAAACTTGTGGTAATACACCTACCAAGGTTTAGGATGTTGTCTCCCTGTTCCCTAGATACTGAACCTTAGCCATCCTTTCCTGACATTTGTCTTGCTTCAGAGTCTACCACAGTGCCACTTGGGAATAGCACCTGCAACATTTGGGAGACATATTATAGTACAAAAAAAGGGTGCGCTGTGTCTTTAAGACAAGAAAAGTGCAATGTTCCTTTAAAAACACTCCAGTGCTTCAAAAAAACACACAAACTCTATTTTATAAATGTGTTGCTATTACACACTCTACAATAGTGCAAAAAAGTGCAAGTGTACAAATATCACTTTTATACCAATATATTGGTGAAAATTGGTAATTGACAAATACCACTTTTATATCAGTGTATTGGTGAAAATTTAGTAAGAAAAACGGAGCACTTACAATACCCCGCTATATGTACCTTAGGTCTGGTTACTCCAGTTATGCATACATATGTATAAAAAATAAATAAGAGAACATAGTGTAATACAGTATTATAAATTTTGTTATTAGAACAATGAATAGTGTTAAACTCACAAGTGGAGAGCAGAGAAGTCTGCTCTAACTTTATCCGCTTCTTGTGTAGAGCCAACAAGTCATAGGACAGCAGCAAGTTGAAAGAAACACTTTTTTATTTCCAAATAAATCTTCACAATATTAAAAATAGTCCCCCAAGTGGTATCGCTTTGCTCACTCAGTCTCTCTTTGGAAGGCGTACTGCATACAGTTTCGCTGCCGGCTAGCACCGTACCGCAAACACTTCCTGGAGGCGGAGCCTAATGACGTAACCACGGGACGTACGTGATGACGCGTTTCGCCACAAAATCGGCTTCCTCAGATCACACTTCCATTCTGCTGCTGTCTTGCTTTTAAGTCCGTTTTCACAGGTGTATGTCCACCTATTAAGTCCTCATTATTGGTTACCAGTGTAACCCCTTAATACCTTAACAGAAATCTTCATACAATTATTCATTCCCAGGGTCATATCTCCTAAACCAAATTTTTTCTTACATATGAGAAAAACTAATTTATTATAAAACACATTTACTAGACACATACATAAAAAACATAAGCCTATAGATTAAAAAACTAAAAGTATCTCTTAACTATAATAATTAAAACATACTAAAAAATAT